TCTCAAATGCAAGATGGTGGCTGGAGGAGTACAAATTTGATGGCTTTAGATTTGATGGTGTGACATCAATGATGTATACTCATCGTGGCTTGCAGGTTAGAAAACTATCCTGTACGATAACAGTGTTACTAAAATTGGCATACCTGATGCCGGAGCTAAGTCGTTGATCATGTTAAACTGCAGAGCAATTTAATTTCATATGACATTTTGTATGCCTATATAGGAGTAGTGCTTTCTTTGTTGTGTGTAGCCTAATTGGTTGCTTTAATTGTCTATATATACATATAGAGATTACTTGTAAGGCAGATTTTTTAGAGAATAAGAAAATAAAGGCTTTTGTCTTGTTATTTTGAATTCTTGTATCCTAAGATTTGATCTTGGGTGGTGGGTTCTTTCTCCAAGGAGGAGTTATTGGAGACTTGCTCAGCCACGGTCACTGGATCGTCGACGTGGATTCGTCGAGCCCCCTCCGGTCCGGTGTCAATACCTTCCCTTTTGGGTTCGTTCAAGTGCTGACATGATCATACAGATATCTTAGAATGTAGTCTTCTCCAATGGTTTCTGAGTTTCTACTTTATATGGTCCTCCAGATTAGCCTTCACTCTTCAGGATAAAAAATGAGTTTTTTTTCCTTGCAAACAAGAGTCCGTTAAAACATATAAAAAAAGGACTATCCATTTAATAGCATATGCGTTTCTTTGCCGTTTGTTTCATGAATTGCCTGGATCTTCTACAAGCACCTTATTGATGTCTGCCAGTGTTGGATTCTTTGGTCTTCAATATCTATTTTTTTGTACTTTATTTCAGGTAGCATTTACTGGGAACTACAGTGAGTATTTTGGTTTGGCGGCTGATGCAGATGCGATAGTTTATTTGATGCTTGTGAATGATGTTATTCATGGACTATACCCTGAGGCTGTTAGCATTGGTGAAGATGTGAGTGCAATTTGTTTTCATTTTTATGTTTTAGACACCTGATACGTGCAAGGATCCTTGATGGCATTGCTTTCAGTTTATTTTCTGATTTCTATGGTAAGCTTTTGAATTGTATTATGGGTGTATGGTAAAGATGCTCTTGTTTCATCAATGCTGTTTGGTGGTGTTGAGCATTGAGCACAGGAATTCCTATTTTACCTCATGCGCTGTTTGTGACATCTTCCTCCTTGCTGATGGATGTGCATGTTTATTTTTTATTTTCTGCTATAATATTCGGTTTGAATAGCTAACAACAACAACA